AAAATTCAATTTTTTACACGCATTAACAAAAAGCCCGGTTTTAAGGAGAAAACAAATGCTTGAAAGTCATTATGGCTTTTGTTTCTCTTACATCATTCACTTGGGATTATAATAAAATATAGAGAGATTACGCAAAAGTCGTTATTTTTTTCTATTAATATAACCAATGGGATGAATGTGAAGGAACTTGGGATTATATTCTCTTTAATATCAACCAATTATTTTCGTTATTTGAAGGACCCATCTGTGAATTAAATTGAGATTGGTGGTACAAATTATTATATAATTGAATTATTTGCTCCATTATTACATATAATGGCATCATTAGTATTTCCACTTCATGAATCGTGCCCAACTAGCTATCTTACATTGAGGTTTCTCTTTAGAAAAGCCTCCATTTTTTACAAAGTTAAGTTCATTTGTGGTTAAAATAAATTAAAAAAAGAAGAAGAAAAAGTAAAGTGACTATTTATTTAAATTTTTGTCTTCAAATATTTTTATATAATTTACTTTTTCTTATTGTTTAAAATAAAATAAAAAAAGTTTTATTTTCTCCTTTTTCAAAAAACAATTCTTAGTTCACTATGTAATAAGAAAATAACTCCTCATTCTTTTTGCAGTCGACACAAAAAATTTCAAATTTGGATTTTGAAAAATATCCTTTTTTTTTTTCAAAAAAATTTATTGTGCAAAATTACTCGTATTTTCAATTTTGATCCAACTTTAGAAGTTTCCTCTTTGTTTTTATTTTTTTTAATAATAGTAATAAACAAAAATTTCTTCCAATAAAACGACGATTAGGCTTGAATTCAGGTCATTTATCTAATTTATATTATGCTAACCATCTAAATAAGATTTATGCAATTAAAGAGAAATCACGTGTATTCATTTAAATATTATTTTCATTCAAATAAAATAAATTAAGACCGTATTTCATGAATTCATATTATATATTGACCAAATGTATATAATAAAATCCCATTAATTAACTAAGGAAGATTTCTAGACAGTTGTCGGTTTTTCATTTTCTAGATAGATTAGCTGTTAAGAAATAATTTATTAATTAACAACACACGTGTGTGTGTGTGTGTAATCAAGACTCAAGAGTTGGGTCCAAAGGTTGACTATGCCAATGCTACCAGATTTCGATCAAGACTTATGTTGCATTATGCATAGACATTTGTTTTAGTTTGTCATAATTTTTTCATCTGGAAAGTGGGAATTGTATCTCAATAAATTGAACTTGAAAAAGGGACCACTTTATTTTTCTTTTCTTTTTTCTCTATGAGAAATTTTTCTCTGAGCTTGACTCACCAAAATTGAAGATTTAAATGTCACATGATTGATTGGTAGAAAATGAAGGGTCCCCCCCCAGCCCCCAAAGAAAAAATTAGTAAGCAATAGCATGGACCTTAAAACATGTGAATATTAAAAAAATTAAGTAAAACCGATTTAAATAGAATTGATATTAAAAACCCTACTAAGAGTTTTATTAATAAGAAAAATTACATTATCGGTTTCTCAACCTGCTGTTATCACAGTAAGACTGTCCTAACGTTTAAAAATAAATAACCTAATAATTTGTTTTTTATTATTGTTAGTCAATCACAATGATGAAAACCGTTCGGATATTCATTATATTATTATTTGGTATGCGCTTATCCAACTTTATAAAATTAGATTTAATTTTTAACTTGAAAATTTGTTGTGAAATTTGAAGTGAGACACGTTTCAACAAGAACTATGTGACCACGTAACAAAGATTTACGCAATTATGTCATTATAAACTTAATGTGTAACTATGTTAAAGGTTTAGAGACTAATCTTTTTCTTTTTATAGATGAAAGACTAAATTGCTTTCGTATCATAGGTTGAAAATTGTGCAAGTTTTCTTATTTAAGATAATAAAATAATAAACCCAAAGGAAGGAATTCAAAGAGCTTAGGAATTTGAATACGTTAAAGTTGTTGTCAAGCCACCATCTTCAACCATCCTAATCACAACTTTACAAAATATTCATAATGTCACAGTCAATTCCCCCTTTTCCTCCTCCATCAAACAAGACCCCATTCTTATTCCATAAAAAAATCCATCAATTTCTTAATTTTTACAAATGACTAGCGTATGTCGTAGGAAAACTTAAAGTTCGGAAGACATTTTTATAAAGTTATTTAGGTTCACAACAATGTTTTAATGGGATCTAGGTTTTATATTTTTTACTCCCTGATTCTCCATGGACTAATTTGCTTTTCGAACGAGATGTTTTAGTTTAAATAACAGTTAAATACGTGTTCTATATATATATATATATATATATATATTATCTCACTTTTCTTAAAAACGACGTGAAGAAAATTAGACGATTAGAAATATCTGATAGAAGATGGGGAGAAGAAGGGTGGTATGATAATAGAGTAGACACGGAAAATTGAGATTTGGGGGACGGGAGAAAAGATGGATTATACTTTTTCTTTTCATTTTTCATTTTTTTTTATTTGAGATTTGCAAAATTATTATCATTTCTTGAGGACATGTTTATTGAAACTTTAATGTGTAAAACATTTAATGCTGGAATGTATATAAATCTTGACCAAACATAATTAAAGTTTTTCTTCTCAGCAATAATTAAACGGCATGATAATGCACTCCATCATTGTGATCATGAGAATGTTATATAAATAATATGCTACATTATCATTTCAGGCCGCTCTCCTTTTTTGGTCTCTTATTCTAATTTTTGAGGAAAGAAAATAAAATCTTGAGGAATTTATTAATCTATTAAGTTTATGTATTAGGCATAGGCACGGGCTCGACCGTGCTATAGTTCGTGTCCGCCCCTAAAAATGTCTACTTTTTTCTTTTCCTTTTTTTATATAAAGATAAATTCATGCATATTTATATTGTACCTCGTGTCCAAACTCAAGCTGGATCCACCACTGATATTAGGAAGATCAAAAATTAAAAATATCTTCCTTTTTTTCCATGATTTTGGTAAATTAGGTTTAAAAAAAAAATGGTCATTATTAATCCCAAGTATTGATACAAGACGTTTTATACCATTTCTCGCATTGGCTATGGCCTTTAAAATCCAACAAGCACAACTTTCTACCTTTTTTTTTTTTTATTTTCAAAAGGAAAAACTTTTTAACTTGTATTTATATTATTCAAGAAATATTTTCCACATCAAGCACTTAGGACATTTTTGATACATAGTAATGAATCGCAATATTATAAACAAATTTTAACTTGATTTTTCTCTTTAACGTTATTCATATATATCATATCATCTCTACCAAATATGTATTAGATTAGTAAGTTATTGATTTCATTTAATTTACATGGATACGTACATTATTATCTTTACTAATTCGTCGATTCAACAATTAAATTGAATAATCACGAAGTCAACATTAAATGACAATCACAATAAATATCTACAACTTTGAAGGTATTATAGATGAATTTTTCTGTTGCTATTCTAATAAAGTAGTACGTTAATGAATAGTGTTAACAAAGATGCTAGGTTGACAAGGTTTTTGACAGGAAATTGGATAGGGCGCCATATGACGTCCTCCTATTGGAGGGGCGCCTACGCACCAATAAACCCTATCTGAGTGGTTTGTTCCTAGCGTTAAACACTACCAAATTCATTACAATAAAAATATCCCTAATTTGACACTTTCGAGCATTTGGTTGATTTTTAATCGCAAATCCATTTGTCCTGGTCTCATTTGTAGTTAATCACACTCGACATTATGTATCTATTTATCGTATATTTCCCATAATTGTATTATTGTAGTATGTTTTAAAGAAAAATGTGTGGGTAAAAATGTGCAAATGGGAACAAAAATGAGAAAAATAGATATAAAAATAGGGAACTGCGCCCGCCACATCTAGAAGTTCTTGACTTTTTTCACAAGGCTATACAGCAAAATGCTTTGCTGCCATTATTTTTTTTATATAAAGATAAATTCATGCATATTTATATTGTACCTCGTGTCCAAACTCAAGCTGGATCCACCACTGATATTAGGAAGATCAAAAATTAAAAATATCTTCCTTTTTTTCCATGATTTTGGTAAATTAGGTTTAAAAAAAAAATGGTCATTATTAATCCCAAGTATTGATACAAGACGTTTTATACCATTTCTCGCATTGGCTATGGCCTTTAAAATCCAACAAGCACAACTTTCTACCTTTTTTTTTTTTTATTTTCAAAAGGAAAAACTTTTTAACTTGTATTTATATTATTCAAGAAATATTTTCCACATCAAGCACTTAGGACATTTTTGATACATAGTAATGAATCGCAATATTATAAACAAATTTTAACTTGATTTTTCTCTTTAACGTTATTCATATATATCATATCATCTCTACCAAATATGTATTAGGTTAGTAAGTTATTGATTTCATTTAATTTACATGGATACGTACATTATTATCTTTACTAATTCGTCGATTCAACAATTAAATTGAATAATCACGAAGTCAACATTAAATGACAATCACAATAAATATCTACAACTTTGAAGGTATTATATATGAATTTTTCTGTTGCTATTCTAATAAAGTAGTACGTTAATGAATAGTGTTAACAAAGATGCTAGGTTGACAAGGTTTTTGACAGGAAATTGGATAGGGCGCCATATGACGTCCTCCTATTGGAGGGGCGCCTACGCACCAATAAACCCTATCTGAGTGGTTTGTTCCTAGCGTTAAACACTACCAAATTCATTACAATAAAAATATCCCTAATTTGACACTTTCGAGCATTTGGTTGATTTTTAATCGCAAATCCATTTGTCCTGGTCTCATTTGTAGTTAATCACACTCGACATTATGTATCTATTTATCGTATATTTCCCATAATTGTATTATTGTAGTATGTTTTAAAGAAAAATGTGTGGGTAAAAATGTGCAAATGGGAACAAAAATGAGAAAAATAGATATAAAAATAGGGAACTGCGCCCGCCACATCTAGAAGTTCTTGACTTTTTTCACAAGGCTATACAGCAAAATGCTTTGCTGCCATTAAAAGGAACGTGAGAATGGAGGCATTGATAACAACCTCACACACAACCACCCCTAACCTTACACCCCAATCCTAACCGACCCCACGCATTTGTTCATCTTCTCCATTCAAACCCTCCTCAGAAAAGTTATGCATAATCCAAGAAATGAATTTTCTCACAGAGTTGATTACAGAAATGAAAGTTATGGCAATTGGGGTGCTGCTGGTTTTCGCAGAAACTTAGCCCAAGACTATGAGAATCATAGAAATTTGAATAACGAGGGAGTTCAATTTAGACCTAATCTAGTTATGGAAGAAGATGATTCTGGTGTTTTTTCACCACCTCTATGGAAAAATAGTCCCAGTCCACCAAAAAGTCCTTCACAACCTCTCCTTCACCACCAGAATTATAGGGTATATTCCCCAAATTCAAGAGCACAGGCTATTGCTAGAGGGCAGTGGGAACTTATGGAAATGGTGAAGAATATGCCTGAATCTTCTTACGAACTCTCCTTGAAGGATCTTGTTGAACATCATAGAATAGAAGCTCAAAATCAAGATCAGGATCAAGTAGAAAGATTGAATAAAGAGAGAAATCATGGGATTCAGGGTTTACATCAGAGATCAAAGAAAAATGAAAAGATGATTAGAAATGGGAGTTTTGACAAAAGGGGATTGTTTCTCAAAATGGGTTTTCCAACTTTTTTCAAATCGAAGAAGAAAAAGACAGTTGTTAACAATTCTAGCGGGAAAGTTTCGCCTAAACCCGAGGGATCGTCTGATAAGGATTGGTGGATGAAACGATTTGGCGGTTCAAGCGACAGTGATAGCAGCAGAAGTAGAACTGGCAGCACAGGCAGCGGCGGCAGTGTTCGCAAAGACAGCAGCAGGTATTTTGAATTTCATCATTTCACCATCTTTGGAGTTATTCATACCCATAGAATTTAAATTATCATGAATTCAAACGAAAATAGTTCAAGATTTTGAATTTATAAGCATTAAATTTCAATATTTACCAAGCAAAGATAATGTAAGAAGAAAATCTATCACATCTATGCATTTGTTTATCAGAGAGATTGATTGAATTTGGAGTTTAAAGCAACAGAATTTTTATATTTTGAGGGCACATTTAGTATACCGTACTGGATTATGGAACATATGATTAAGGGAATTGGAGAGCTTTGTGTGAATTTTGGACGACTCTGGTAAAGGAACTGCTTTAGATTTCAGTTGGCAGATTAATCAGAATAAGAAATCTCAATCCCAGTAATCAAGAAAATCTGTTTGTTCTTGGAAGCAGCACTAAAGCTTCCAGTTAAGAATTAAACGACAACAAGCTTTTCAGCAAAATAGAAATTCCATTGCCCTGTATTACCAGTAGATTTTCCCCTTGTGAGAGTACCTTAGAGATTGATATGAACCGTCATGTTGAAACCCGTTAATTTTATGAAATGCCCTGGAGTTTAGGAATGAAAAATTCATTGATTATTCATAAAATCAACGGGGTTTTTGACAGAACGTCTCATATTTTCGCACTTTCACCATCTGGAATTACCTGTAGAATTCAGAATTTTTTTTGCAAAATCATAATCAAGATTAGTTAACTATATATTGTGTGTTCTAATGCAGGAAAAGAAATGGCCTCTTAAGCAGCTGCTGGCCCTGTTTTCACTCCAGGAGAAACAAACCTGAAGAGTAGAGAAAACTTCTCCAGCATAACGTTTTAGATAAAAAGTACAATACTTGACAAGAAATTTTAAGTGGAAGCATGTGTATATTTTCACGGCTCGTCTGGTACGCACTCGACAGTGTTAAGTTGTGCTAATTATTGCGTGCCAATGTTCAGTTTTATACAGCGTTCAGAAAGCTTAGCCTGTGGTTGGTTTGTCGTTTTCAGCTCATTTTCCGTTTTCCGTTTTCGAAAACGCGGAAAACACTTTAGTCTGTCGTTTTCGAAAATGAGTTAAAATTTATAACTGAAAACACAAAACGACTTTTTATCATTTTTAGCGTTTTCAGTTATAAATGTCAAAAAAGTTCAAAACGTGAAAAACGAGCCGTTTTTGGGGAAAACTAAAAATCGTTTTGAAAATGAAAATAGAAATGAAAATACAAACCAACCACTACCTAAATTTTTGTCCGTTGTTCTGTCTAAGTTGATTACCAAATATATGCCCTTTAATGCAGCAGATTGTTATTCTTTACAGTGGACTTCAACATAAATCTAATTTATTTATTTATTATCATATGTTTGGCACTGATGATGGTTATGTGACTTGTGATATTACCGTCGACTATAATTATTTAGCATATAAAGAATTATATATTTAAGTTTTTGATTTAGGTGTAATATTATTTTATTCAAGATTGTATAGTTAAAAGTAAGAGAAAGAAAATTTTAGTTTAATGTAATGAGGAATAATGGGGCTCAAACGAGGGCTAAAATACGATCAAAATATGATTTTTTTTTTCTTTTTTAAATTTAAATAACGGAAGTCTACCTGCAGCCACCCATGCTTACCTGTGCTGACGCGCAAGGGATGGCTGATTAAAATCTTTATTCTTCTTTGAAAAAAAAATACACTGGAAGCGGATGACAACATAACTCAATCAAATATAAGCAGAAAATCATATTAAAAACAGTTTTAAATTGTAGATTTTTTATATTCCAAGAAAAAATGGTAACCATACAAGTGTTGTTCAATCAAGAAGTAAGGTCCACCCAAGGAATCTTTAGTTTGACCAATTAAATTCGTGTATGGCCCACCTGCCGGTCTCTGGCTAACTTTACTCCATTATACATGAAAAAAGGGGATTTTGGTTAAAGCTCAATGGCTTTGAAAATTGGAACATGAGTCAGGAGTGCGTGCTAATCCTAAAAATCCATTTACACGGCCTGGTGTCTTCGAAAAGAATGACTACAGAAGGCAAAGAAGAGGAAAAATATAACACAATAGAGATTCACGATTCACAGAAACTGGAACAAGTTCCAACTTTGACAAGTCGAAATAGAATGTGGAATTAATAAAACAAAAGTCAACTAAAAACATGTAATATTATGGTATTAAGATGCCAGTGCTAAAAAAATCCGTTTACACGAACTTAGTAGAATTAAGTCGAGGCTTCAAAGGATTGGTGTACAAAAAGATTTGCCGTTAGAGACCTGCATAAATACAGAGTGCAAGTCCTCTGCAGATATTACATCACCTCTAGCCAAATTTTGCTGTTGCGATCTTTCCAGTAATTCAAAGACAACATTTGTGCACATGATAATACCTCTTCCAGATGACTTCCCACTGAAGCGTCTTCAATATAAGATCTATACTATACAATCGAACAATTCCCTAATTGTCATGACAGCTACACTGTGTTTTCTAAAGAAATCCTGCATTAAGGAAACATGGAAATCCCTCTTCCTAGATATGAAATTATTCAACTTGCAATCATGCGAGGGAAAAAAAAATGAAGATAGAGGAGAAAAATTAAATGAAACAGTATAACGGGGTGAAGGAGAATAACTCACTGAAACACGATCACAGTCCTCTCATATGAAATCAAGGGCGTGAGGATGGTCAAGATTGACTACTTGTGAAACAAAGATAATGTAAAAGTGATCCTGCATGGCTGAGATTATTATAGTTTGTTCACCATGAAGGATATAACAGCTCAAACCAGAGAAAGTGATTGCTTACCTCGAAATAAAGTATGTTGTACTCGCTTAGGTCTCCAGGCATATCAGCTTACATTTCTGATAACGTGTTCGCATTGCCATAATCATGTGGCAAAGACAGCAAAGGAAGCAATAAGATTGTGTGGAGTGTTAGAATATTATAAATTGTGATAAACTTGTTTAACTATTTATAGGGCTATATGTAACACTGAAAGAAAGGATTGGGTGACAATCACGCAATTATCACACACCAACTATTAAGGAAATAATCCCACACAATTGGAAAAACTATCATGAAGTGAAAATTATATATTATCTTAATATCTTCAACATCTTCCTCAAACGTAATATGGTATTGTAGAAATTGTTGGAAATCTACTTGTGCCAGCAAGAATAATGAAAACTATATGGATCTCAAACCCTAGCTATGTATTTATATAAATCCAAACGGGCTCGGTCCGATCCGGTCCAATATTTAATTAATCCATTTAATTAAATTCGGTCTGTGAATTAATTAATTCGGGACTATAAATAACCAATCCAATTAATTAATTTTATCCAACGATTGGATGAATTAATTAATTGACAATTTGCAATCTTCCAATTCTCTTTTGTGTGTGACCCATCAGGTTTTCGACCACGATGCCTAACGACATTAAATATTATTTTGATCTAATCAAAACTGATAAATTAAACACCCTTTTAATTTATCACAAATTCACACTCGTCGTCCCAGATTGACATCTATTAATGTATCAGGGCAATACATGTGACAGGAAATGTCACGTGGTATGACAAAATCAAAACTGTTCGTTTACCATGAAACTATAATCCCTTTGTTAATATGATCTGATCAACTACGAGATATGGAAGTGTGTCAATCTCGATTATCGATCATATCTTTCATTCTACTATTAAGCCAATATGAGTCGAAAACTCATTTTCGACTTATATGTATACCTTGGCCAAGGATTTCGTTATTGACTTAATTGAACGAAATGCAGATCACAATCTTTTACTATCTAAGAGTGACAAATCATCTATTAGTCATTCACAACCTTCATATGGTTCTTGACATATCCGAACGATGTCGTATTAGCGGCCCTTGGCAGAGTAACATCCAATACCGTCAAAGCATGACTGTCCTCATACAAGGCACTATGATAACCTCAAGTCATAGGACCAATTTCACTATCGAACGTTAGAGATCAACCACTGACACTCAGATAGTTATCTATGTGAAATTTCTTAGCGGGTCTCCAATGTTTTGTTTTATAACAAAATATCCACGTATTCATTTAAGTGTCACCACACTTTAGCTTGTGAGATTAGCTACTTACTTCACAAGTAAGAAATGTCACACGTGATTGTCTATCCGTAATAACGATATCCGTTTCTTGTTATTACTTACGACCACGGACGATTTAAGATTCAATCAAATGTAATCTATATCTCACAATCACAACTCCTTATGATTAACAAATTACGAAGATTTAAATCTATGGACTTTATTATTTAATTAATAGACAATTAATTAAATAAAAGATCTGCCATTAAACTGCATTAATTATATATCAAAAGTATTTATGTCCAAAGTTGATTGGACCTAGGGCATAATTCTTATAAACTCCCACTTGCACTAGATCCAATCACTTATGTATCCAATATCATAAGTCTATACGACGATCATGTTTATGTTACGACTACTCTTTGTTAGTGGATCTGCAATATTGTTAAATGTGGGAATTTGTTCTTTTCTTTACATCATTTGTATATATTATCTTTCTGATGAGATTATACCGCCTTAATACATGTTTGGATCATTGATGAGACCTTAGTTCCTTTACTTTCGCAATGACTCTATTGTTATCACAATACAATGACATGTGATCAACAATATCAGGAACTACTCCAAGTTCATTTATGAATATCATGATCCAGATTGCAACTCTTGGCTACTTCTGAAGTAATCATGTATTAGGTTTCTACTATTGAATCAATGGTTATTTCACGTTCGGAACCTTTCCAACACACCGTTTAAGAGTAAACCAATTTCTCCATATAAAATTTTCTCAATATTTTACATAGATTGGGACGAGTTAAGCAACCTTCTAGATCTATATTTATAGATCAAGTTGCTTCTCCAATATCGTTCGAGAATAAATCCTTTAACAACTATTATTTCAACGATTGAAATATAGGGATGTCGTTTTCTATAATGTTAGCAATACGACAATACTCCCACTATCTTCTTGTAAACACATAATTCGTCTTCAAATTTGATAAAGTCAAATACTTTGACTTTTTCATCAAATCTAAGACTTCAGCTCTAAGAGACTTCTCTTAACATATAGTCACGGTATGCAACTGTTACAAGCAAAATTTCGAATGGACTTAAGCAAGGCTACATGAGAAAAGTTTCACCAAGATCAACACTTAATCTTTGCTTGTAGCCTTGCTTTGTATATATGGATATTCTCATCCATATCGACATTTTCTTTGTAAATTATTTACAAAAACTTATGGGTTTTATTCCATCAGGAGGCTTGACCAAGGTCCAAACCTTGTTCACATACATCGAGTTCATCTCGAGTTTCATAGCCTCTTGCTGTCTCTTTTAAATCGACGCTTGACTTTATTTTGGTACAACTAGCAGGTTCATTATCCTCGATCAGTAATATCTGATTAGTAATCATGGATTCGCACATTCTTTAAGGTCGAATGATCCTACTAGATTCACATAGAGCTGACATGTCCTCAGGACTCTTTACTTCCTGATCAAGAATATGTCCCATATCAGATATGGGATCAAACTCAGATTTATCTACTTGGTTAACTATATTTGTGGACTCTTGAACTCTTTCAAGTTTTATTTTACTCCCACCGTCCTCCCCTAGAGTAAACATTTTCTCTAAGAAGATGATATGTCTTGAGACAAAGACTTTCTTCATGATAATAGAATTTATATTCAAATGTCTCCTTTGAATATCCCCACAAATACGTATTTATCAGATTTAGTGTCAAACTTGTCCGATTCAAGGCGCTTCAAATAAGCGTCATGGCCCCAAGTTTTCATATAAGATAAATTGGGACTATTGCCTTTCCATAACTCGTATGGAGTTCTGTTAACCAATTTAGAAGGGACATGATTTAGTGTGTTGCACACTGCAATCAATGCATGACCCCAAAACAATTTTGGGAGATTTGCATGACTTGTTATTAATCGCATTATATCTAATAGTTAACGATTCCTCCTTTTAGATATACCACTATGCTGTAATGTATGTGGAGGAGTCCACTGCAAGAGAATCTCATTCTCTCTTAGATAATCTAAATTTTATCTTTAAGATATTTTCACTCGATCGAATTTTAATGTGGGGTATCTTTACCTATTTGTTTCTCTACTTCTTGTTTGAATCTCTTAAACCTTTCAAGAGTTTCATGTTTGAATTTCATCAAATATACATGATCATTGGTGAAATAAGAGAAACATTACCTGACATCAATTGACATGAGTCCATATACATCACTATGTATTAGACCAATAATTACACTGACCTTTCTTCTTTTCAAGTA